ATTCCTGACCACACATTGTTGGGTTGTGTCCACCATTCTAGGGATTCCTTGACTTTGCGTGGCATTGTGAATCGTCTGTTTAGGCCACGTTTGTGGGGCCTGTAGCTGGTTCATAGCCATCCCTGAAGGCATCACATATGTAATCGTGCATGTTTCATCACGAATGTGCATACTGCCATGTGACCTAGAAGTTGGAGGCAGATGTGGGCTGCTATATATAGGCTGCTCATTACTACAGATATGAGGTTGGATATTGTGTTGAATCTAGGGAGGCTTTTGGTTCCACTGAGTCGAGGTAAGCACTGATAAATTCTAGTTGTTGGACGGGGTCTAGGGTTGACTTGTTCTCGTTTATTTGTAGGCCTAGACTCTGGAAGAAGTATACTGTCTGTCGGGTAGTCTGGATGGCGTCTATTCGAGTGTGAAACTTCAGAAGGCAGTCGTCCAGGTAAGGGAATATTATTATCCCTTGTTTTCTTAGGTGTGCCGCTGCCACCGCTAGAATATTGGAAAAGACTTGAGGTGCCGTCAATAGGTCAAAGGGTCAGACTTTGTATTGGTAGTGGTTCGTGTCTAGGGTAAATCTGTGAGCGGGGTGTATTGTAATATGAAAATAAGCATCTTGCAGGTCAAGGGCTGAAAACCAGTCCCCCGTTCCAGTACTGGTGTTATTGTTGCTAATGTGACCATCTTGAACTTTTGTTTTTCATAGATTCAAGGACTGGAAGGGACCTCGAGAGATCGAGTCCAGTCCCCTGCCCTCATGGCAGGACCAAATACTGTCTAGACCATCCCTGATAGACATTTATCTAACCTACTCTTAAATATCTACAGAAATGGAGATTCCACAACCTCCCTAGGCAATTTATTCCAGTGTTTAACCACCCTGACAGTTAGGAACTTTTTCCTAATGTCCAACCTAGACCTCCCTTGCTGCAGTTTAAGCCCATTGCTTCTTGTTCTATCCTTAGAGGCTAAGGTGAACAAGTTTTCTCCCTCCTCCTTATGACACCCTTTTAGATACCTGAAAACTGCTATCATGTCCCCTCTCAGTCTTCTCTTTTTCAAACTAAACAAACCCAATTCTTTCAGCCTTCCTTCATAGGTCATGTTCTCAAGACCTTTAATCATTCTTGTTGCTCTTCTCTGGACCCTCTCCAATTTCTCCACATCTTTCTTGAAATGCGGTGCCCAGAAGTGGACACAATACTCCAGCTGAGGCCTAACCAGCGCAAAGTAGAGCGGAAGAATGACTTCTCGTGTCTTGCTCACAACACACCTGTTAATACATCCCAGAATCACGTTTGCTTTTTTTGCAACAGCATCACACTGTTGACTCATATTTAGCTTGTGGTCCACTATACCCCCTAGATCCCTTTCTGCCGTACTCCTTCCTAGACAGTCTCTTCCCATTCTGTATGTGTGAAACTGATTTTTCCTTCCTAAGTGGAGCACTTTGCATTTGTCTTTGTTAAACTTCATCCTGTTTACCTCAGACCATTTCTCCAATTTGTCCAGATCATTTTGAATTATGACCCTGTCCTCCAAAGCAGTTGCAATCCCTCCCAGTTTGGTATCATCTGCAAACTTAATAAGTGTACTTTCTATGCCAATATCTAAGTCGTTAATGAAGATATTGAACAGAGCCGGTCCCAAAACAGATCCCTGCGGAACCCCACTTGTTATGCCTTTCCAGCAGGATTGGGAACCATTAATAACAACTCTGAGTACGGTTATCCAGCCAGTTATGCACCCACCTTATAGTAGCTTCATCTAAATTGTATTTGCCTAGTTTATCGATAAGAATATCATGCGAGACCGTACCAAATGCCTTAATAAAGTCTAGGTATACCACATCCACCACTTCTCCCTTATCCACAAGACTCATTATCCTATCAAAGAAAGCTATCAGATTGGTTTGACACGATTTGTTCTTTACAAATCCATGCTGGCTATTCCCTATCACCTCACCACCTTCCAAGTGTTTGCAGATGATTTCCTTAATTACTTGCTCCATTATCTTCCCTGGCACAGAAGTTAAACTAACTGGTCTGTAGTTTCCTGGGTTGTTTTTATTTCCCTTTTTATAGATGGGCACTATATTTGCCCTTTTCCAGTCTTCTGGAATCTCTCCCATCTCCCATGATTTTCCAAAGATAATAGCTAGAGGCTCAGATACCTCCTCTATTAGCTCCTTGAGTATTCTAGGATGCATTTCATCAGGCCCTGGTGACTAGGAGGCATCTAACTTTTCTAAGTGATTTTTAACTTGTTCTTTTTTTATTTTATCTGCTAAACCTACTCCCTTCCCATTAGCATTCACTATGTTAGGCATTCCTTCAGACTTCTCGGTGAAGACCGAAACAAAGTAGTCATTAAGTATCTCTGCCATTTCTGTAGATTGTATTTCTCGGGGAAACTCTGAAGAGTTCAACCACAACGCCCATTGCATGACCACAGCAGTAGCAGTAGATCTAGCAGCTGTGTCTACTACATCTAGGGATGCCTGCAGGCCTGTCCTTGCTATCAGTGATTTAAATTGGTCTCTTTTTTCCTCAGGTATATCACTAATAAAGTCCAAAAATTTTGCATAGTTTCTGTGATTATATTTGGCTAGTAGTGCCGCATAGTTAGCCACTCTAAATTGGAGGGTGGAGGAAGAATATACTTTGCGGCCGAATAAGTCCAACCTCTTACTGTCCTTATCAGTGGGTGCTGACCTATAGTGGTGTTGTTTCCCTCTCTGGCTGGCCGCCTCCACAACCAGTGAGTTGGGTGCTGGATGGGTGAATAAAAATTCTGTTCCCTTTGAGGGGCCATAGTACTTTTTGTCAGCCCTCTTGCAGGTAGGTGGTACGGTGGCTGGAGCTTGCCATACGTTTAGGAGGTTCCATTAGCGCCCCATGGATTGGCAGTGCTATCTTGGATGATGAAGATGTCTGCAAAATGTCCAGTAATACATGTTGGGCTTCCGGTACTTCTTCAAGAAGAATTTTTAGATAATCAGCCACCCTTTTGAACAAGTCCTGAAAGTGGTTGAAGTCATAGTGGTTGGGGATGGGGGCATTATTGCCTCATCTGGAGAGTTATTCATGTTTGGCGAAGTGTCAGGTGCACGACACTCTTCCTCTTCTTCTATGGGTTCCTCCCTTGGATCAGTTGTTAAAAGTCTCTAACGGTGAAGGTGGAGATCTAATGCCTTCCCTGCGTGGGCTGGGGGGGTCTGCTCAGGGGTGAAAGTAACTCCGGTCACTTACTGGTATGGGGCTGGGACCGGTTCTGGCCCCCAGAAGGGGCGGAGCCTCGGGCGGAAGGGGCAGGGCTGGGGGTCAGCATCCCTCAGCCAGCCCTTCCAGGCCGTCTGGCCCACGCTGCCCGGGGCTCCAGTGGCGATTTAAGGGGCCCGGGGCTCCGGACGCCGCTGCCGCTACCGCGGCAGTGCCGTCTGGAGCCCCGGGCCCTTTTAAATCGCTGGCCCCGAGGCAGCTGCTCCCTTTGCCCCCACTCCGGCTGTCGGCGGCCAAGGGGGGGCAAAAGGGGCAGGGATGTTAAAGCGCTGCAGGGTCCTTTGCCGCGGCAGTGCTTTAATGTGGGCTGGGTACGGGCCGGTGCGGGTTCTTACTGGTATGCCATATCAGCCCGTACCAACTCACTTTCACCCCTGAGTCTGCTGTAGTGTCTTCTGTAAGACCCCCATTGGTCCCAATACGGCCAGTTCGTGGGGAAAGACATGGGTGGTCCCATCCACAGATGCCCATACCATGGTGGTATTTCGTGCCCCTATGTGGACCTTGATCGTAGTGGTCCAGCTGTCACAGGCGTTCTGTTCAGGGAGGAATGGTGAGGTGAGAACATCCCTTTTTCCTCGTCGTCCTCTTCACTTGAGATTGGAGGGGCTATCCGAGATAATGGTTGCTCCGGTACTGCACGCACCGGGGAGCCCTCGATGTCCAGAAGTGGGGACTCTGGTATCGAGGAGACAAATAGATCTTTCTGGGGCAGAAAATGGTGTGGTGTCAGGAGCTTCGGTGCCGATGAGGTCGGTGCTGATTGTGTTGATGGTGTAGCAGTCGGTGCCGATGCTGTTGTGGTCTTTGTCAGTGCCATTGTAATAGTAACAGTGGGAGGAGGCATAGTCGGCAGAGTGACTGTCGGTGCTGTCTCCTTCAGCGTCATCGATGGTTCCTTGATGGAGGACGTAGGCTTAGAGCCCCTCGACTCCGCACCGGAGCACTTTGTTTCGGCAGAGGCCACTGCACAGGTGGTGCTGGAGGTTCCCGGAGAGTTTTAAGTGCTGAGCAGCTGTGAGGTCGGCACCGAGGAGAGCAATCTAGTGGGAGACCATTTCCTTTTGGTCTGCTCTCTGTGAGGCGATGAGGACGCTTGTTTTCTTGCCGGTTTTTTTTGAGGAATCAGTCTCAGGAGACCCTTCTGTTAAAATGTTTGATGATCTCTGCTGGGAGGGAGTTTCCTGCCCCAGATCAGAGGCGGGCCATAGTGATTTCTCCATCAAGATGAGTTTTAGCCTCAGGACTCTATCTCTATGAGGCTGGGCTTTGAGTTATTACAATGGACACATTTCTGGGGTATGTGCATCTCCCGCAAGCAACGGACACACTGAGTGTGTCCATTGGATGCCGGCATCACTTCTCTGCACGTCGTGCAGCGTTTGAATCCTGGTGAACCCGGCATTTTTGTCAGTTCACAATCTCTATCCTAACAAGGGCCCCTTTCTAGCTGCTGAACCTCTGTTCCAGGGCATGATGCACCCAGGGGGCTGCAGGGCAGCTACTGAGAACCACCATCTTATTCTGCTTGTGAGCAAAGCCCATTGGAGTGGAGGCCACAGGATGCTGTGCTGGAGGTGGGATGGGCCCCGCCTGGGCATATAGGGACGGACCCCCAGGGGCACACGGCTCTCACGGACCCTCGGGCATGGCTCTCACGGACCCCCCGGGGCACATGGCTCTCACAGAGCCCCCGGGGCACACGGCTCTCACCTGATGTACATGGCCCGGCGGTCGATTTCCTTGTAGAAGTTCTGGGGAAGGAAGAGCAGACGGAGGAAGGTGACTGGCGGAGGAGGCAGTAAAGAGCTCTGGGCTAGATCCACAGAGGGATATCGGTGCCTGTGTGTAGGCGCCTGCCACCCCATGGGATCCGCAGTCCAGAAGAGGGCGCCCAGCTCCCCACACAATGGATGGGCAGAGCCAGGCCCCTGAGAGTGGGTCCCACGGAAGCCAGCGATAGGTGGGGATCTGCCAGAACTAGCCAATGGGAGATGCTGACCAGAGGGGAGGGGTCTCTGTCCTGCCCTTCCAAGGGCTGTAGGCGCCTATCTCCCCCAACCTGGCGCTCACAGCACTGACCCCTGGCTGCCGAGTGGCGCCTCGGCCCGGCCAGTTGGTTCCAGCGCTCCCCCAGGCTTTGGGAGCCCCAGGTTCAATTCCCCCTCTGCCAGACGTGGAGCAGGGATTTGAACAGGGTCACCCCTGCCCACGGGGCCGTGGGGTGCCTGGGCCTCTCCTGCTGAAACCACTGCCCCGTGTAAATGTCCCTGCTACCAGACGTGTCAGGGGCCAGTTCTCAGGGCTCGGTACCGCAGGGGCTGCCCGGGGCAGAGAGGGAGGGGCAAGTCCATCCCCACATGTGCTCCAAGGAAGGGGGGCTGGTGCCTGAGGGACAGGACGTGTCTCTGCCTTCCCCAGATGGGCCATGTCCAGTCCCCCCTCAGGCCTGAGGGCAGCAAGTGGAAAAGCTTCCCTTGTCACCGTGCGCCCCGTCTGGCCACACAGCCTCACGCACCATGGGGCATGGCAGGCCTGTCACACTGTCTGGGGGGTGGGAGCTGCCCTGGGAGATGTCGGGCTGGGGGGCGGGAGCTGCCAGCAGGGGATGCCGGGCTGGGGGCCGGGAGCTGCCCAAGGAAACGCCAGGCTGGGGGACAGGATCTGCCCGGGGAGACGCCGGGCTGGGGGGCGGGGCATGCTGGGCTGGGGGGCGGGAGCTGCCAGCAGGGAGACAGCGGGCTGGGGGGCAGGAGCTGCCCAGGGGAGACGCCAGGCTGGGGGGTGGGGGATGCTGGGCTGGGGGGCAGGGGATGCCGGGCTGGGGGGCAGGAGCTGCCCAGGGGAGACGCCAGGCTGGGGGGTGGGGGATGCTGGGCTGGGGGGCGGGAGCTGCCTGGGGAGATGCTCAGCTGCCCGGCGGGGCACGCGGCCAGGGACCCACCAGCAGGTTGACGGTGCAGCTCATGCTGTAGGTCTTGTTCTCGTCGTTCATGACAGCGCGATAGTCCAGCAACCGCTCCAGGAGGCCCGTGACCAGGGCCACGAACTTCTCACTGGGCTTGGCCAGCTCGGGGTGATTCTGGCAGCAGCTGAGGAGGCTGGAGGAGAACAGAAGGATTCACACCCCTGTTCCCCTCAGCCATCCACCCACCCCCCTGCCCTGGCCTGGAGCCCCATGCAGGCCAGGCCCATTCCATACAGCAACAAAAAGGGGATAGCTCGCTTGTGGAAATGACAGCTCCTCCAGCCTGGCCTCTCCC